CCAGCACAGCCCCACAGCTGGATGAAGGAGCCACTGCCAGGACTGAGCCTTCCCCAGGGACAGCCTCTGGTCTCCTCACCACCAGCACAGGGGAGTGATTGCTGTGCCACACACTGGAGAATGGGGAGAGAGAAGAGATGGCAAAAAAATCAACTCCTGCTGTCAGGAGGTGACCCAAGACCTGAGGGCACAAGCAGGGCAGGGAGGCTGCATTGGCATGCACCACACAGGGCCATCAGAGACGAGAGAGAGGCCGCAACATCCCCTGTCAGCTCATGGTGCTCATCGCCTCCGGAAGATGGATGGCTCCTTCCGATCATTTACATCAACCCACAGAAAATGGTTGCCTGCAGAATGTCAAGCAGAGCATCAGGCATGTGAAAATCTCAGAAACTCACATTTCAAAACCCAGGGTTAACCCCAGCTCACACAGAATCCATTCAGACCGAATGGACAGCCCGATGTGGTTTCCTGGCCCTGGGGCTGACATCCTCCTCCCACCAGGAGCCTTGGGGCTGCTCTGAGGTTCTGCTGCAGTCCACGAGGGCTCCCAGGCAGCCAAGGACACACTCAGGGCCAGCACACTCCATGTGCCCCACTCCCCAAACAGATGACAGCCAGAGGAGGCAACTGCAGGGGAAACCACAACCAGGCGGGAAGCACTGAGGGCAGCAGACCCGGCAGGGCTGGTTCCTCCACGGTCACCAGTCCTTCTGCCTGGCTGTGCTCAGCCCACCACCTGGCTCCTTTGGCTCAGCATCAAGGGGGAAACATCCCCCAAACTGCTGTGAGCACCAGGCATCCATCTCAAAGCCAGGGAGTGCGCCAGACCACAGCCACTCCCAGCAGCACAACCTCCCTCACAACCTCCCAGGAGAGAAACGGCCCTGGAAATCCAGGTGGACTTGGGACTTCTGGGAAAGGAGTCCTGCTCTGCAAGAAGCAAGTCTCAGCTTTCACACCCAGTGCCTGACTCCTCTCCTCTGCAGGTACAGCATTTCCTAAGAAAGATTATATCAGGGATTAACAAAGAAGAGGAAACTGAAGCTCTAATTACTGCTTTGTTTCTCAGGAGCCTGAGCTCCCTGCTGAACCTTCCCTGCTCTACCCTGCAGGTCCTTTTCTCTCCCTGCAGTCCTTCTCCCCTGCCCATGACCTGGTGCACATCACTGCTATTTCCCAGTGGTACCCAACACCAGAACGGCAGCCACAACAACTGCGAGCTCTTTCCAAACCCAGCACCATGCAGGACAGTGCCCAGGCATCCTGCCCCCCTGACCAGGCAGGATTAGGTGTAGGCAGGAACAACAACTGTGCAGCAGCCCCCAGATGAGCAGAGGTACCATGCAGAGAGCCAGGCAGCTGGGAGCTTCTCCGTGGGAGGGAGCAGACCCCAGGCTTCAAAGCTGGCTAAAAACAGAGCAAGGCCGTACTTTACTCTGGAGAGGGAAGGCAAAGCCTTTCATCACATGGGCGCTGCTAGCCACGAGCAAAGTTCTCAAGAGGAGGGCAGGAGTGTGGGGGTTGGCCTGCAAGGGGCAAAGACCATTTGTGCCGGGCTCTAAACAGCCCACCTCGGGCTGACCCAACAGCACCGTGGCGTTCAAATCCCCAGCAAGGAGCGCTCCGGGGAATGGCAGGGGTGACTGTCTCTCCAGCTCTGCCATCAGCATTCCTGTCTCTCCACCTGCTGCCTTCGTTTCGAGCTCCCCATCCACTCACTGTGGAGGGGCCCCGTGCTGGGAGCTGCACAGTGGACCAGCCCTGAAGGATGCCGGTGGGAGGGACAGGAGGCCAGTGGGCTCAAGGGTTTGCTTGGAAACCACGGCACAAAACTGGAAGCTGGCTGTGGGGAGGCTGGAGGCACGGCTGGGCTCCCGGCCTGCCTGCTAACAGGTTGGTTGTTGCCCAGCAGAAGAGGAACATGCTAGCCCTCAAACCAGCTCCTGAGTTCACAGAAAAATTGTACCAGTCTGCAACAGGTAGCAGAACCAGCAGGAGAGTTGGGAAGACACAGTTTTAATATCCATTTCAGCATAAAGCCTGCATGTTTACCAGTCTTTTAAACGGGTCTAAACTAAGCCATGTTATACCTAACTGCTGTACCTTAAGCCATGTCACACCTAACTGCTGTACCTTAAGCCATGTCACTTCTCACCAGCACCATGTTCTCCAAACCAACTTTGTACCATCAGTTCAGAGCCTGGGGGCTTGTCCCTTTGTAAAGGGGGTGTTGGGATGGAACAGGGGCAGAGACCCACTCAGCACAGAGCATCTCCCATTCCAAATCCTGGCAGTGACACCCACCCAGCCAGCCAGTCCAGCCCAGCTGCCTTCGTGTGCTCAGCCCACACGTGGCCACAGCGCCGGCGCCGCCTGCGTGGTCACCGCAAGGTGAAGTGCTGCCCTGGCACACAGCAGCTGCCCAGACAAATGAGAGCCCATTAGCAAATTAATTTTTAACCTTGCATTTGTCTGTTGCAACAACTAAAGGAGAAGAGCTCTTGGCAGCCAGAGCTTCACTTGTGTCTCTTCAGAAAAGAGCCAGCCCCAGCCTGTGGAGGTCTGGGCAGCTGAGGTTGCTGTGCCTGCCTGGCAGAGGATCCCAATTATAGAGGGGGTCTGTGAGCAGAGAGGCACCCAGGGGGGGATGACAGATGCTTATTTAACTCCACCAGTACAGGCTGATGAGGCGCAGCAGGAATGGTCCATCTTAACACTTCCAGCTCTCCAGAAAGTTGAGCTCTGAAGCACACACCCCTGTTGTGCAGACAAATGTCAGATGAGAAACCCTGAGAGCATCAGCAAACCCTTTAAAGTCAGCAGATACAGCCACAAACGGCACTGCATCCTCCAGCAAGGGGCTGGAGGGCTGAGCAGACCAGGGTGCAGGGAGTTAACAGCAGCTTTCTCCCGTTTCTGTGGTTCTCTAATACAATTAGATGCCACAGAGGCTTGGCTGGACTTCTGCCCATTAACCAATTACTCTGATTACAGCCTGTGAGGAAAAGACCAGCATCTCAATAGGGTCCTTCTTCCACCTCTGCAGCCTCACACGGACCCAGAAGGGCCCCCCCCAAACAGGGGCATGTGCAACTTTGTGCTACGTTGCCCAACCCGGCACCTGGTGAAGTCCACAAGAACCTTTACACCAGAACAACTTCCAGGCATACCCACGGCAATTTTTATGGCAGGGGAGAGAAGGGCAAGTCTGCTGCAACCTCTCTCAGAGGAGGCTGATACCAATAATCCATCTACAGCTGATGATCCTGATTAGAGACCGAAACAAGGGCAATGAAAGTCTCCTGGTACACTGGTACCTGATGCATTGCACAAGGGCAGCAAGATGGGAAAGACTGGGAAGGGTGGATGAGAAGAAAACAGCCTGTTCTTTCCCATCTTAATCTTGGATTAAATCCCATTTAAAAAAATGTTACGTGAAGAGGCCTGAAAAAACAACCCATTTTGAGGCGGGGCAGCACAAGCCTTGAGCCCCCTGAGCTCTGGAGGAGCCTCACCCAAGGCTTCACCTGAATGAGAAGGTACCCTCTGGTCTGGCCACAGCTGCCTTCTCCTTGTGCCACAGCCCTGTGGCCAGGCAGCCCCAGGGATGGCACAGGCACAGTCCCTTCCAGGAGACGTGACCCTGGGAGGCCTCGGCACCCTTTGCACGCTCCAGTGTTCCAAGCATCCATCTCCCACAGTTCTCCAGGTCTGTGTGAGGGGAGACCCACCCAGCACGGGCGGGAGGGCAGAGCTGGAGCAGCAAGTGTTCGGCTGTGCCCAGCCAGGGTGGGCAGAGCCTTCTGCTCCCGGGTCCTGCTACTGGAGGCTGGAGCTCTGCCCTTGGAGGGGAGTGGGGAGTTGGAGAGACAAAGGCACAATCGTAGGAGAGGGAATTGGCTGGAAAACACAAAAGCTCTAAACATGCCAATCATGTCGAGGCTTCGAAGGCTCATTTCAAAACAAAGACGCTAATCTCCACTCTGGGAATTGTCCTGCGACTGGCAGGAGAAACCAGGGAGCTAATGAACAGCTACAAAGGAGTTTAACAAGCCTGCGACTGTCTTGGACTCCAGTCAGCTCAGAGCTCGAACCAGCCACAAGCAGGAGGCAGAGCGTTAACTCTGCAATTACTGCTGCACCCGGAGCCTATTTAGATCCCATGGAAGTGGTCAGAACCGGACGGGAAAACACGCCCTGATCCACAGGGACCGATGCCGAGGCACAAAGGAGGAACCAAGCAGCCCTCAGAGGAACTGCATCAACGCAGCGTGTGGGACACAGCTGGGGCAGGGACAACTGACTGCTCCCGCCCCAGCCTTGTCCCTTAAGCCCTCTGGGGGTGCGTGCGGGGGTCCCTGCTGCCATCAGCCTCTCCCATCAGTGCCGCTCCCTCGGCTGGCATGGAAACCTGTCCCGCTGAACCCCGCGAGTACCGCTCGCCCCGATCTACGTCCGAGGCCACCGGCACCTCCGCGGCCAGACCTCCGGGAGCACAAACAGCCTGGCAGGACGCTGCGATCCCCGGAGCCGGGGTCCAGGTTCAGGATGCTGCCGGGGCCGAAGGGAAACCCCGGTCCACCGGGGCCGCCTCGGGGCAGCGGGAGAGGGGCGGCAGTGCCGGGATGGAGCAGCAGCACCTGCGGGAGCGCCACCGCCCCGGGGCGGGTCCGGCAGCACCGCCCAGGCGGATGCCCACGCTGGCATTGGCGGGGCGAGCCCCGTTCCCCGGGAGAGCCCCGGGGGACCCTTACCTGCCAGGATGGCCTTGCCGGGGTGGGTGAGCTTGGCCTTGCCGGCGGGGGCGGCGGCGGCCAGGCTGCGGGGCGCGGCGGGGGCGGGCATGGCCGCGCTGCTCCGCGGTTCGGGCTGCCCGGGAGCGGCGGCCGAGCCCTATTTCAGAGCCGCGCCCGCGAGGGGCGGCCCCGGCGGCGTCACATCCTCGCGGGGCGGGGCGGGGGCGGCCCGTTGGGGTCGTTGGGCGGCTCTGCGGGGACGGGCGGGGAGCGGCAACCGACGGGCAGCGTGGCCCGGCCCGGGACCCGGTGGCTGCGGGGGTAGGGGTCGCTTAGCCCGCCCCGAGGAACCCACGGGAAAAGCCTCCGCGTGGGTACCGAGGGATGCCAGCCCGGGCCGGGGGACGTGGCCAGCACCGCCTCCGCCCCTCGGAGCAGCATCGGCATCCACGGGCACGCTTAGGCCAGGACTAGCTCTGTACCACCCCAAACCCACCCGGTCGGGGAAGCTGGCACAGCAGCGCCTTCCTGCGCGGGGATGACGGTCCGAAGGGATGGAGGGTTTGATGCTCTCGGGCCCGTGGCTTGAATCCTTTCTGGTTCAGTCGATGAGGGAGAGAGAGCAGGAACCCCCCCGGGTAGTGATGGCCTGTGACCGTCCAGTGCAGAAGGAAATGAACCCAAAACATTCTCAAATTAAAAGGCCACGCTGGGCTTAGTGGGTTTCTGTTTGTTTGTTTGGGAGGCAGTGAGGGATTTATTATCTATTGCTCCTCAATAAGTGGGTTGTGGAAATTACATCACAACTTGATTTTTTTTATCTGCAGGCATAGGAAGACAGCCGTGCACTCGTTCATGTCCAAAGGCTGTATTTACAGGAATGCAGGGAGAGAAACCAACACTCTTCACTTCCATCTGGGATTTCGAAAAAACCAGGGAACCCTGGAGCTGGACTGCAGAGCTGTGCTCTCCCTTACACCTGGAGAAGCCACCCTATTCCAAAGAGGGAACATTTTGTGTAAGAAGTCGCCCCCAGCCATGCACAGAACATGCTCCTGTCCAGACTTGCTCTCTGTGACATGATTTTTGCTGAACAAGACTCAGCAATTGGGCAGCTGCCAGCCCTGTACAAAAGCTGGCTCTGCAGCTACACAGCCCTGGCTCCGTGGCTGAACCACCAGCACAAAGACCCTTTGGGAAACTGAAGCACCTTTATTCTGCCAGGGTTAGAAGCAAACGTACTTGGATTGCAGAACTCGTCCCCAGGTGAGGCCAGAACTGTACACGATTTCACAACAGAGTTAAAACAGTCACAGAGGCAAGTCTATTGAGGTGGTCTGAGGCCAAGTGTAAGGCCTCCCACCTTCAGCACAGGGAAGTAAAGGAGGAGGGAATTAACATGTAAAAGGTACATGGAAAGCAGAAACAGTCATAGTCCCAGCCACAGATGCAGAGCAGCTGCTCAGTGCTTGGGTGAGTAGCATTAGAATGGCAAAGATAAGATAAATCCTTTCAAAGATGGCAAACACACACATTTGGATTTCTGATTAACCTCTGCCACTCCTCATACCTTTCCATCAAATTAGCACGGCATTCACATCTGCCTGGAAACACATCCACCCACTGCTGGGAGGCCACACAATGAACACTGGCTCTTACAGACTCCCGGATCATCAAACCAGCAAGGCCTGAGCACAACCTCATCCTGCTCAAAAAATACCACACCACATGCTTAATTCACATCAGGCTCAATGGGATTCACAGCAGTGCTTACTTTGCTCAACAGGGAAAGGATTATTCATATTTAAGCACACGCAGATTGCGAGTCATCTTGACTTGACCTCTGAGAAGCTGCTAACACCACTTGTCAGCAGAAAGCCTAAAGGAGAAGCATCTGTCGAAACCACGACAGCATCGAAGGAAGATAAACAACCCCTGAAATACCAGGGGTGTTTTAAATCCCATGACTTATGTGAAAGTAAATACTTCACTGGACTTGCAGAGTCAAGAGCATCTCCTAAGAAATGGGTCGTCAAAGCATAAAAGAGCAACTGCTGTTACAGAGAAGACATCAAATCTGTATCTTACTGCTCTCACTTCAGGAATTTTCATGGAAACAACCCTCTGATAATCTGAACCTATTTCACTTGCTGGTGGCTGGTGCTTGTTTCTGCTGGCACACAAAGACACAAGAATTGTGAAATCCATAGTCAGGTGCTCCTGCAGCCAATGTGCCTCATGGCATCTCTCCTGGCCCTAATCATCAGAATTAGGAAGAACTACTGAAAATGAAAGCAACTTTCACTTTTTTGTTTTTTTTTTTAAACACAAACCCCAGTTGCAGACGAGCATTCTGGATTCTACGAAGCCCATAAACAGTGACAACACTCGATCTGTTCCAACTTACTCCTCCCTTGCCCCTCCCTGAAATTGCTACTATTACTTTTATTTAATTAGCACCAGGCAGCACACCTTGGTTTCAGAGACCACGAGTGGTCAGTGTGGGGTAGATAACTTCCTGTTTCATGTCCCCAGCCCAGGGAATCTCTTCGTTCCACCAGATAAACAGCTGTATTATCACAATTGTTACAACTCCTCGACTACTACAAGCCTTTCCATGCATTATTAATCCCCATCACGTGGGGGCTTATGGTGCAATAAGAAAACTCATTTCCTCTCAGGTTCTCTGTCAAGACTAAAGAGCTCCTTTATGCAAACAGATCCTGCACATAACTGGCTCCGAGAGAAGTGTTCGCACTGCAGACTTGAGTCAATGTTTCCCCAGCTTTCAAGAGAGCGCAGCAGGAGCTCCTGTGACTGTCAGAAAGATGATGCTGTTCTAACAACTACCACGATTCCCACTTGAACACACACACAAGAAGAGCTCCTGTTGCTATTTGAGATTATTCCCTGAGATTACCAGGACTGAGCCTCTCAAGAGCCTCACAGTTACGTTACGTTCACATTTGCGTGGGCCTGACTCATCTCAGAAGAGTGAAACACATGTACAGCATTTACAGGTTATCACTCTGCTACCACACCAGGGTTGTGAATCCCTCACAGCAGGATGTATTACTCAACAAAGCTACTCCACTTGCTAGCAGTTTATCCTAGATGAGGCCATGTCGGCACCTCCTAACTGGCAAAAAACAAAGCACCTTCCAAAAGGAGAGCAATTAGAGATTTATTAACGATCTCCTCCCACCCAAACCCACTCCTGGTTTCCCAGCTGGATAAGCAGTACTTGGGGAACTTGTGCTCTGCGTAAGATTGGAGACTTCACTGCTGTGGAAAACAACATACCAGAAGACTTTGTAATTCCTTCCTTTCATAACCACTGGGGGGAAAAGGAGAAACAGAGATTTTTAGACAAATTTTGAAGTCTTGATTAAAACCACAGCAGACCAAAAAAAAAAAAAAATCTCCTTGAGTCATTGAACCATGCAGGAAAATGCATGACAAACTCAGAACATGACTCAGGATTTTTAAGTTAAAAACAAGAAGGACCTTCACTGACTATATTTCAAATTCATCTTAAGCTTAAAAGCTGGTGATTTTATAGTCTGTTTTAGCTTGGATGGAAACAGATGGATTTTGTTTCCCTCCTGAAGGATTGCAAAGGCTCCAGACTGAAGGATGTAGACCGAAACATATACCTATGCTAACAATTTTGCAGCGCTTTGTTAGTAAAAACATGAGTCAGGATCTGTCATTACCTTTGGAGAGGTGCCCACAGAAAACGCACAGTGTTGAAAAATGAGAAAGCCAGAGTGGTGACAAACCCTCTGGAGGCTGGAAGCCTGCTGGAGCAAGAGATGGAGCACAATAAAGACTCCAGATCCATTAAGCTGGACTGGTGCACCTGCAGGTTGCTATAGCGAGTGCTCATTCACCGGCAAACCGCAACCCAATTACACACCGGGGTCACAAAGCACTCTGGTGTCGTTGAGCATTTTCCAGCCTTATGTCCTTATGTGGAAACGAATGAGACTGAAGCAGTCTTGGGGTACTCTGTAAAGCAGGAAAGGAAATACAGTCAGTGCAGAGCCAAACCATTTACAGCAGGACAGGAAGACTGAAGGAAGTTCTGCACGTGAGAAATACACTGTCACAAGGTAACGCACACACTCGCTGAGCAGCTTGTTATGAAAACCTGGTACATGCACTGCTACTCATTTCCAAGTTCTGCAGGAGTTCTGGCCTCAGGTTTTTTTCAGTACAGGCTGGATGCACTGTCATGCTGGATCAGCCACACCAGGAGTTTCTCAGAGGCCTGCAATTAAGATGTCACACATCCAAGCATAAACATTAACTACACAGCAGTTGACAGTCAGCTTTGCCCAAGTTCCAAAGTTACTCACACTCATCTGAGTGGGCATCAGACGACGAAGGGTTTGTTTGTCAGTTTTAGAGTTCAAAAAACAGAGGGAATCTCTTGTCTTTATGAGTAATTGTTGCTGGATTTGCTAGGGGGATTAAAAAAAAAAAAAGTAATTCCTTGTTTCATGCAGCCTGATGAAGGATCCATGTTTTGCTATAAAGTGGCAGTGCTTAGCACTGCAGCTGCTAAAAAAAGAATCGAATCAGAATTAAGTTTTGGGCCTTACAGTTACTACTGTCTTTGCTGTATCATGTCCATAATTTGCACAAACTTGAACAGACTTCAGCTGCCTATGGTTTTTATTTTTTTAAGGAGCAAAATGACTTCAGAGCATTTCCTTCTGCTACACTGCCATTTAATTAGAGAGCCCTAAAAAGGAGGGGAGGGAAATAGAAGTCTTGTAAAATATCACACCATTATGTAGCCAGTACAAAACAGGACTTACCCCAGAGATGCATTTCTGTTTTGAGTTGCTCGTCTTCTCTGATGCCACGTGTGGAGTTGCCCAAAGTTTGCCAGGTTGGGGAAGATTCCCCTGAGGTCTGACAAATAGCAAGAGCCATTACACATGAGATCCATACTGGGTTTCCCAGAGGGAAAGCATGAGGCAGCAAAAGCCTGCATGTAGTTTCAAGCAAGTTACTCTGACATAAAGCTGGAAAAGTTGGTCTCCAGACGCTGCACCCTGCAGCACGTTCTGCAGGAAGGGATCATTCCACAGGGCAGCGCTGCCCCATCTCACTGAAACATGGGGAAGTAGCAAAAAGCTTAGTTCTAAAGCAAACTTTCTGCAGAACAATCTTATCCAAGTTTTCAAAAACTTGGATGCTGCAAATTGATAAACTGAATTAAATCCTCCACTTCACCTCCTAAAAGAGGGGTTGTTTCCTGCTGAGAACAACTTCACTGTTAAAGAAACAGCGAAGTGCTCCGTTATGCCAGAGTTTGTTCCACACTGTAGGTATGTTTGCATTGCAGTGGCAGGGAGGGGATGGTTTTGAATGCATTTTAGAATGCAAGATCACAAAATTTAAGACAACCATTATACTTAGCAAGATCTTAGATACCAGGAGAGCAACTAAAGCAAGACTGTTCATCAGAGCTGGCAGCTCTGCTTTCCTTGAGAACTCAGTCACTCCTGTAATTAGATTTCTAGACTGAAGCTATTAAGGATCCCCAGGCTAGCTCAATTCTCCACAGGGCAGGAGCTGTTCCAGTATTTGATCAGCACTTCACTGTGTTCCATCATCAGTTGCTATAAAGCCACAGCACATTTTTACGTTGAGATGAAGGAAAGTCCTACAATCATACTAAGCAGGTCATCAGTTCCTTTCCATCCACAAGGAACTGGTTACAAGACAGAAGTACCATTTTCCTTGAAAACAGCAAGCTACCTGGCTAATTGCTGCTACGAGTAAGTCTGAGCAGAATTTCCCTGACCTCATTAGCTGCCCGGCCTTTCAAGCTGACCAGAGTGCTGATCAGTCCAAAGCTGAGGTTACCATGTTACAGCAACGCTTGGAGCACTCTGGCATCACCAGGAGGGTGGAACCAGTCCCTGTGCCATTGCCATCACAGCATGGTGACCAAGAGAGACAACACACTAGTTAGAACTGTGCCAAAGCACAGTCTGTTGTTCCAGATTCCATAACCCTGGCAAATCTCTTACTGGTTTGCACTCAGAAGATGTTTTGCCCTGTTCCAGTAGGATTCAGTATGAGCAAGTGGAGCTTCCCACTACTGCTGCTGTGTTCATGTATCACAGAGAACACATTTATTGCAGCACCTCCCTCAACACAGGCCTGGAGCTTTCCCAGTCCCGTGAATGAAATGATGGCAGCATGTGACAGCCTCCTGCAGCAGGCCCTCCCCACGTGACAGAGCATGCCGATGTGTCTGGTGAAGAGATCACGACTCCCTTTAAGTTCCTTGCTAGGCCTTCCCTGTTACGTGCTTTGGCACAGCTCTCCCTTTTCCTGCCTGGCATCCTTAGTTGTCAGAAAAAGAAACCTGATGCTATGAGTGGTAGTGTAGTACTACCAACCAGTCCCCACCCCCGAGATATTAAGACTAGAACCACACAGTGGATACTGCAGTTTTACATTTATAGTTGGACTTTTATAATATTCAAGATTAGCACAAGATTCATAACCATAAATTATACATTGTTATCTAAGTACATAAAACGTTAATGATACATGTATTTGAAGTGGCACAAAGTAATCATACATCCCTGTTGGCATTCTCAAAGGAAGAGGTGGGTGATGGACGCGCTGTTGATCCTACTGCAGCACAGCAGCACTGAGTCAGTGCCCCCTGTTCGTTCAGGTGGTGCTGACTCTGCCCACCAGACAGGGGCAGAACACGGTGTGGCAGGAAGCCAATGCCGGAACCAGTTAAAGGTGCAAATAAAAAGTCAGGATTAAGGCCCTCCCTCCTGCCTCAGTATTTAGCAGTGTGTCCCCCTCCCCAACCCTGACGCTGTGCTCTTGCATCTCTAGTGCTTTGGCAGCCCATGCACACTCCTATGTTCTCTTGCCACACGGAGCTGAGGTGTCTTTTAGTACCATTTAACGCCAATGAGTAACATGCTCTCTTCTTGTTAAACAAAAAGGATCTGGGAAGTGTTTGCTCTCTGGCATGAGAAGATTTATTTTCTTCAAGTCTCAGATCTACTCCAGAAAATATAGAACAGACTCCAACAGCATCGAACCCCAACAGCATTGAACTCCAACAGCATTATTGTCCAGAAAAAGAAACTTTCCCAATATTCCTCTAAGCATTCAGAGTGCAAATATTAGAAAAGCCCATTTTCTTTTGCTCATAAGAATGCAAATAAAATGGGGTAGTTCAGATGTACACAACCTTTCAACAATCCATTATTAACGAGATGCTTCACTGAATTGTTAACAACCCTGCTACTTCGGTAGCTTCAACTAGAGCTTTAACAACTTGGTGCCAGGCAATTTCCCAGCTGCCTTCAATGGGCTTTGCAAAAGAAAGAAAAATATGCTCTCTTCCCCCTGGCCTCAAGCAGTTATTGCTATATGAGTTAGTGAAATAGTGCCTTAACTTCAGACAAGAGTCTCACAATGTCATCAACAAAAGCTGCCTTTCAGAGGTTGAAATGTAACCGGACAATAATCAATAAATAACAGTAACAGGCATCCTGCTGAAGTCTCCTCACTGAGCCGGGCAGCAAGTGTGTTCAGCCAACAGAAGGTCATCTGTGCCTTTAGGACCATTGTACTTCTTGGAGAAGTTAAAAAGGGACGGGAAGGAAGAGAACAGAGACAGTGAAGGTCTGTCAGAGAGCTAGTTACATATTGAAACCATAAACAGGCGGCTGGGTGAATCCTGGTGCTGTGTATCCATACGGGAAGTTTGCCTGGGGAGGTACTGCACTGGGGCCTGCTGTTAACATCAACTGCTGGCCTAGAAAAGCATGAGAAAAAGAGAAAGTTAGTTAAAGATCCCAAGCTTCCCTACTGCTGGCTGTACTGTGGGACAGGATTATGTGGTTTTAGCTCAAAATCAGCCCCTGTGCAAGCAAGCAGACACTCTCAAGTCACGCTATCACCCAACATGCACCACAGAGTGGGCACCCAGGCCATCTGCTCTTGCCACCAGAAAGCTACAATAGCAAGGCAGGACTCAGAGGGAAGATATTATCAACTGATTTTGGGGGCATGATCAGTGTGGCTTGTTTTGAAGAGACCATACTGAAAGCCAAACAAACTGATATCATTTAACCCATGCATGGTCAGATCTGAAGAGTAAAGCAACTCAAGCAAATAGTTAGGTCTGTTAGGTCTCACAGTCTGGAGAGCACTGCAAAAGGCCTGAACATACCTTGACAGATTTGTTTTCATCACTAGGACCACACATGCCTCATGCATATGTTAAATTCAGGTTAACATTTATACCAGACAGTGAACCAGTCACATCTTTTCCCTTACCAGCCACTTCTGGGTGCTTGTTAGCAGAATGCCTCTTCAGAAGGGCTTCTAGAATAGCAGCACACTTGAGGACAGCCATGGTGTTTTGGCTGCTCATGTCTTAAAATGGGTGAGCTAGAAAGCCAGTCTGCCTTTCTACTTGGAAGAGCAGAGAGCAGACACATTCCTCAGACAGGAGTAAGAGGAGGAATCTGCATGCTCTGTAAGTTAGTCCTGGGTTTGGCAACACCCTGGCATCCCCCTGTCCTGTTAACCATAATGAAAGAGTATTCCTAAAGTAGAGTTCTGAGCCATGGAAGAAGAGCAGTACTTTAGCAGAAGAGCAGAAGTACTATAAGAGTGAGATGTCACTTGGACAACTTATGCAGTTCATCTAGCAGAGACAACCATTTCAATTACCCTCCAGTTGAAACCACTTTACTTTGAACACAGTCATGTAAATTGCCTCCACAAAAAGAGATCAGAGTGACAACAGGCAATCAATTAAAACTAAGTCTTTCACCTACCAAATACTATTGGAGTGGGTTCAGTTACTTGTTCCTCTTCTTTTCTTAGGCTTTCAGAAGCATCAAGTTTATCCACCTACATTGAAGTGAACAGGAGATTTATGAAGGCCTTGTCTAGGAATTGCACCACTGTGTGAAGCTTTTCGTTCCTGGTACCTCAGCTATCAAGTGCTCCTTTTTAGTCCAAGTTGGGGACTACTAAAATCTGCCTGTTCCCAGCAAGCTATGCTGTCAACCTGACTTCCCA